AAAAACACGCCCAGACTCAAATCCCAACTCAAGTTGGGACTCAGTTTGGCGCCCAGCTTTAGCAGAACTCGCAACTCAGCCTGGGACTCAGCTCCACATACTTGTTTGTTCATTTGAGTCCTACTTGATTTGTTTCCTTCCACATTGTTTCTTTTATGTGCTTCTTGTGTTGTTTTTTTCGAGTCCTGTCCTGAGTAGTGTGGATTTGTTTTTCCTATTATTTCTTTTTCGGCTTTGCGTGTTGAGTTCAATCTCTTAACTCTTGGGTGCTGAAGGGTGATTTGAACACACACAGATATATAAATATATCTGCAACATACCAGTGCTTCGCTCATACCATTCATATATCATATCAAACATATATATATATATACACACTGGGGGGAAAGCTGTTGGCGCAACTCGCAAAAAATAGTGGAAACAGCCGCGCCATGTATCTCCTTTTTCTCGCTATTTGGTGGTTAAGGATAGCGTCTGTGCGGATACTGTACTAGTTTTAATTCCCTTTTGATTCCTTTTAATTTCCCTTTGATTTCCTTCTGATTCTTTTTGCTTTCCTTTTGAATCGTATTTAGTGTCCTTTTTGGTTCCTTCTTGATTTCCTTTTGATTCCTTTTTAGTTTCCTTTCGATGTCCTTTGGTTTCCTTTTGATTCCTTTTTAATTTCCTTTTGATTCCTTTTGATTTCCTCTTGATGTCCCTTTAACTTCCTTGGGATTCATTTTAAGATGGAGCGGTCCCAATCTCCGCTATTTTCCCCTTCCCGTTTTGTAGCCAGGGTGCGCATAGTTAGCGCAACACACCTGATACCTAAACCTGGTGCAATAAAGAAAGTCACCTCATCAACTTTCACATCGGAGTACACATATGCGTATGCTTCGCCGGATTTCGCCTTCGACTTTCTCTTTCTTGCAGGGCAGATGACACAGCACTCACTCACACGCAGCTACCGTCCCATCTGCCTGAAGTTTGTATGGGCCCTGGAAGTTCACCAAATGATGTGATGCCTCAGGTCTCCTTCCATGTTGGCAACCTGCAGCTCCCCAGGCACCTTGACCATCCTTAGAATTGCAAGAGGCATTGAAAGCATTGGAAGAAAAGGAGATTGTGGTGCTCCTGGCTGCAAGAGTTGAGCCGCATCACCAAACTTCTCCATGTGTGAGCTTTAGATAGACTGATGCCTCAAAGTCTTCTAACACACACACACACATTTCTGCATGTAACTTCTTACATCGACCACAGAGCTCTACTCAGCTCAATAAGACGATGATCAAATAACTCCCCCGTAATGCAAGGCTTGTTGCTGTTGATGGGTTTTATAGCTGAGCGACTCATTTGTTAGCTGCTTGGCCCTTGGCTGTGGGATCAAAGGGTATTTCGGACAAGTGTTAGCGATAGGAAAGTGAGGTTTGGACCTGGGTCAGTGCATTTTGTCCACGCTGCAGTTTGTACAATGATGGTCGCGATCGGGGCGGAAATGATCGAGGGCACAATGTGAAGACACGTGGAAGGCAGGGGCTGACGGTCGCTAATGGTCGCTGATAGCTAGCGTTTAAACACCAATGCCTTGACAGCAAGCCCCTGGCGGTGACCTATCAGACAATGTAGACGCCTGCATTGAAACACACAAGCGTTCTTGTAAGGCACAACTCTATATAGCCCTGCATGGGCGTTGGCAGGTCACTTCCTGCTGGGCGACGATTATATGAGTCTTGGCTATTTTCGGCTCACTACGACCAGTATACCAGCGGTCCCGAAAACTTGACGATACTCTTTTATATATATATATATACATGTTGCTGTAGTGTGTGTGGAATTAAGCTTTTGAAGCATGACATTTGGGAATTCAAGGTTGATCAGGAATCATTTGCGGTACACATAGTCAGTGGATACACTTTTATCAACCACAGTGTATGAAGCATTACCGGCTTTCGATGGCCCAGGAGTTCCTACTTTGCCGCATTGGTGCAGGCCGCTCATACTTGATCGATGCCCCGTCCCATGCAGTGCCCAGGTTGCAGTGGTTGGTTGAGCTAGGCTGGTTCTCCTGCCCAGTACGGCCGTGCCGTGAGCTCCGCGAAAGGCCTTTTCTGGAAGCAAGGCGAATGCAGACGTTTGGCAATAGTCATCCCAATGCAAGCAGTATAAGTAGCAACGAATCGGCAACATTTGTTTATCCCTCTCTCAACCCCATAAGAATTTCAAGGGCACCCTGCTGTCCTTCCTGCCCCACCATTTGTGTCAAACTCAGGAAACCTTGGCACTTCCTCCAGAGTACGACAGCTTTTTTGTTCGCCACAGCCCTGCTAACGAGCAAGTTGTCAATGAAGAGTTCCCTGGAGTGCTACCTCGACATGTTCTGCACCACGAGCAGCTTGGCATGCTTGCTGGACATTTCTTCTTGCCTGGAAATGGATGTGGAGAATGCTGAGGTACATGGTGAGGGACCCTGCGCAGGTACGCGTGTTCCAGTGCATTGCATGACTGCGGAGTCTGCTTTTGCAGTCTTGATCACCGGGCTGTCCTTGGGCTTTCATCAGTATGCCTTCTGCCCTGTAAGGCGCTTCCTGTCTACTTGGTGCACTTTGAGTTTGACCCTGAGATGCCTGAGCTGCTGAACCTTCCGCTTTGCGACAGCTGTGGGCTGCAAGCTGCACTCGCAACTCGGATGTCTAGGCTAAACTGCAGGGTTCCGCTAGTCGCGACATGATCATTGGAATCATGTCCCTTTTGGCATCCTTGCCTCTCTTGGGTACCGGCGATGCAGATTGAGGAGTGATCGAGCAGTTTGCTGAGGTCTTCTGCGAGGCGGATGATGCCATATTGTGCAGGCCATGCGATAGCCGGATCCACTCAGCGAACAAGTTAGCCTCCAGACATATCCGAGTGGATATAAACCGACGCCCCAATGCTCCCTTGGGGAATTGTTTGGATCACAATGGCTCGGAAGCTGACATGTACTGCACGATGCCTTGGAACATCTTGGAGCAGCACTGACATTTTGCGTTTTTGTTTCTTTGCGCTGACGGGCTTTTTCAGGCCAGGGTTGGGGAACAATAACTCTCATCAACTCTCCCCACCCGAGCTGCGACACACACACACACACATTCTTCGCATGCTTTCTGGAGCAACTGGCGCTGGGTCTATGTTCAGTTTGCATCTCAGGAATGCAAAATGCCTGTATGCCAGCACTGCCGCAAGCTGGGAAACCATAGTGCAGGACCCGTGGCAAGACTCTTTGTGTTTCCAAGCGCTTGCATCGCTGTGCCACCTCAAGATGACAATGCTGTTAGCTCTTGAGTTAGCGTTTGTGCGAACACAGCGCCTGTTTCGAGGCCAATTGATTTAGCGTATAATTATCACCTAGTGCGGAGCCGCATGCTTTGGCAAAGAGTTGGCTGCCCAACACTTGAAGTGATCACATCTCAAAACAGGAGAGGCCAAAAAGCACCGCCTCATCAGCTTGAGGGAGGCATACCAACATGCCCTGAAGGCCAGGCTTGGAGAATCAACTGGTGAACAAAGGTGAACAAAGATAGAAAAGCTACGATCCTGTTGATACAGGGATTTTGCTTCACGTGTTTGTTGAATCTCTTCGCGCAGTTGGAGGGATTTTTTCTCACGAAATGAGTTCCATGCACACCAAGGGCTGCCAATGGGACTACAAAATGTTCTTTGGTTGTTAGCGAAACAGAGGCTCAATTCTGCCCTTTACTTCACTCAGGTTTTTTTTGGTGAGGTCCCATGGGCATGGCTTTCCCCGGAAATCTCTGCGTTGTTTGGTCAATTCACTTTGCTCATAACAGAAGACTTCTATCAAGTGCAGGCGAGGCTGGGCTGAAGCATTCTGGCTCGATTTTGGACGATCAGTGTTGAAATGGGCGAATCGTGAGGGGTTCGTGGTGCGTACTCCAGAGGCAAGCTCTGCCACTGCCCACGGCATCCTGTCAGAGAGACAGCGGGTGGAGTCGCAGCAGGACTGCGCATTTTTGCAGATTATTTTGGTGCTTCTTTGTATATATTTTGGACTTTGCATATGTCTCTCTTCCCTCTCCCTCTCCCTCTCCCTCTCCCTCTCCCTCTCCCTCTCTCCCTCTCTCTCTCTCTCCCTCTCTCTTTTTCTCCACTCTACCTGTGTGTCTCTCGTCCAAACGGTGCTTCTGCCCTAGGTGGCCGACTTGGACAAGAAATTGGTTGCGGTGCAAGAATCTACACAGGCTCTGGAGGATGGCATCTATGACCAAGTGCAGTGCCTCAGCCCACTTCAGGCCTATGCATTTCCCAGAATAGACATCAGCCGGGCTGACCCCTTGACTAACGTTTAAAGCTCAATTCGCCCTTTGAGACTTTTCAGGTGAGTCTTGCAAGGTGGTCAGATCTGAGGTTGGCAGTGAAGCAAGGCCAAGCCCTGGCAGAAGAACAAGCGTCGCTTTTCATGGCCGCAACTTGGATTTCATCGGGCTTTAATAAAGTGCGTAGTCTAGCCTGCGAAAAGTGGAATTTTCTCATACCGTGGTGTGCGAGGATGAGTTGGAAGCGAAACGCCAGCTGGACCAGGCAAGCTGGATGGCAGCTTGGACTATGGGTGTGGAAATGGAGCATTTGTTCCCTCGCTACCTTGCACACTTGCTTGAAGCCCGCAAGCTCAACTTAGATCATGAACGAAGTTGTGGCTTAGCGGGTGTTGCGGGTCGTCGCGCTTTCTTCTCTCCTCACCAAGCTCACCAAGGATTCGTTCCTGGATGATCATGTGAAGAACCTGCCGCCACCTGATTTCATGAATGCCTGGTTACTCCATGCCAAGGCCCACAGTCCTTCGTTCCATTTTTAAAAGTTCAACTGTGACATGCATGCTTGATGGTCTTGACAGGTTCGAGAGGATGTGAGCCAGCTAGGCAGGATTGAAATTGACTTTTTGGAAGCAAGGGTAAACATTTCAATATACACCCTTCTCTTCATTCTTCAGTTCCTTGCACCCCTGTCACTACTTGCCTTCATGAAGCAACCCAGGCCGCCTGACACAAGCTCGTGGCAGTGCCATGCTGCGACTAGAAGGAGGCCTTCGTCTTGTGGCTGATGATGCCAAGGTGCGGATCAAGTTCGACTTCGTCAACAACATGCATTCCAAACTTTGGGAGGCCCTCCAGCCAGTGACCAGACCAGGACTGGGAGATGGCATGACAGCTGCAGCCCGCCCTCAAGGTGGCACACCAAGAGCACGGTTTGTGCTTGATGGCTAGTGGCCAAGGCGGCCTGTACCATAGATAGCTGCTTCAGTTCAAGGCCACTTGCCCAAGGCAAGATGCACCACTTAGACTTAGAGAAGCCAACGAAGTGGCGAGCCAGCAAAAGTGCGGCGGGTGTTGTCCTTGTTGAATCGCGCAATAATCGTGTTTGGATGCTTGGCCATGGGCTTGAACAGGTGTGTGGAACATCTTACGAAGGTGATGCAGGAAATGCAGCACACAAGAAGTCCAGACCTGAGGCCATCGAGCAGGTGCAAAGATGTGAGCAGGTGTTTCTATGCATAGTTACTTTGTGTTACTGAGAGTTTTCCTTGCCAGATCTTGAGATGGTGACCGTGCCCCTCTGCTTTGCACATCCCAACCAAGGTTCCGGATTCATGAGGCCTACGTGATAGCACGGGCCTGAGCAAACTGAGCAACCGAAGCGTCACCTGATCATTCTACTTAAGTGTTGGGAGGTTTCTGATTATGTGTGCAATTGGGAGGTTCGTGACCGAGCGGCTGAACTGAAGCCAATAGTGGAGGAGATTGGACCTCAGGGAGCTAAAAAAGCTGCGGGAGTGACACTTTTGACCTTTCTTCTGGAGCAGCATTGTGCTGAGAAGAGCCAGATTCAGGTGGGAAAAAGCTGAGAAGGAAAAAGCCGGTGATGGTGCTGGGGGCTTGGCCAGCGTGATTTTGAGCATTTCAGTATCTCTGTGATCGATGTGGTTTTGGAACCCTCAGGTTAACCCAAGTGACAAGGGTGACAAGAAGAAGGATGAAAAGAAGAGGGAGAAAGAGAATGGCCGGGCTTGTGTGGTTCTGGAAGTTTGATCACGATACGAAGCAAGCCATGTGCTCAAGATTAATCGCTTGTTTTGTGTGATTGCAGGCAAGCATGAAAGCAAAAGCCGACCCAGAGACAGAGAGAAGGAGAAACGCCTTGGCTTCGGTCGCTGGGAGACCTCATGGAGCCCAGTATGCTGGCATGCTGAGCACAGGATGTGCTGCTAAGCACTTTTATGAGCGAGCCATTTGGCTTCGAAGAAGCTTGGGCCACCTTGAACTCGACAAGCAGAGACACGAGCATGTTCGCTTGCATGCCGAGTATGTGTCAATTCTGTTGATGTGGTGCACTCACGTCCACTGACCTACACATTAGCTACACCTTAGGCACATCACCATAAATCATAAATGTCTTAGAAATCATGGCCGCCGCCTTTACCAAGACCTCCTGATTCAATGGCATGGCATGTCGGGCGTGGCATGTCCGACCTCAACGGACGGCAGCTGCAGGCATCCACCCAAGATTGATTCCTTGAGCTGTTTTGCTCTCTTTCTCACTGATTTGCTGCAACGCTGGGTTGATTTGTTTAGGCCCCACAGGAGCAGAGCTGTCCTGTCTTTGCTGTTGGGCCTGACATTGACGGAGACTGTCGCTGTCTTGAGAGCCAGCCGAATTGCTTTCAGGACCCATTTTCCCCGCGCAAGAGAGCATAATTAAAAAGACTAATGCAGCCACTCGTTTGATGTTTTCACTCTTCACCTTTGAGGCCTTCACCAAATTTCACAACTCACAACTGATGCTGGAGGACAGTCGGCAGCAATGTTTTCGCGCAGATGGCCGCCTGGATCTCCACTACTTTGCTGTGGCTAGTCATGCGTTCTATCCTTCTAAATCTGGAAGATGAGCTGCCATTCCAGAGGCTGCAGCCACGCACCAGTCAGATGTTCATCAGGAGAAGCCATGACTAAGGTAAGCTGTGAGACTTGTATGTGTCAGTCATCCATTGGCGATAGCAGCTCCAACGGCATCTTGCTTGCATAGCGGCGTTGTGTGACATGCAACATAGTTCAGCTGGTGATAGAATGGGCCTTCTGAAGCTTGGTTGTTGTGCCATTTGCTTTCACACCAAGATGTCTTGTATATAATGGAGTCCTTGCCTCTCACCTGCGGCCGAGATGGGACAGGGGACGTGATAGCCAGTTGAGGCGAGTCAGAGATTACTTGTGCCACTGCAGATGGGGCTCAGGAGGTGACACTGGCCCCAGATGCAGCAGGCTGGACTGGGAGGTCTGAAATCGTCTGAGGCATTGGGGTTTCAGGAACTAAAACTTTACCCTTTTGACTGATTTTGACCTGTACATTGCACCTTCACGGAACTCTTTGCAGGATTGACGCTTACACCCTGGGCAGGTCTCTGCTACTGTCCCGACTCGTTGCCTCACTGCGTGCTCCTGCCAGATGAGCTAGAAGGATGTGTCGAAAGTGGCCTGGATGTGCTGTAGTGGCCGCTGAGGTGATGCGACAGATTGAACTTTTGGATAGGTCCGATAATAGGTCTTTGCTTGAAAAGTTTTGCAAAGAAAGCTGTGGTGCTTTGTTGAGGTCAAACCGCTGAGACTGTGCTCACAGAGGCATTTCCAGCAGGCGGCATGCCAGAGTTGGCAGACGCATGCAGCGGTAACACTTTCGGGCTGTCACCAAGAGTCTGACAAGGGCAGCTCCAGATTGAAGCGCCCAATCAAAACTTCAACCCTAATTTATATAGCCAGACCGGAGGCGAACTGACAACAAACATGCGCAAGAAAATGGGGAAATTGACCCCTTCCTTTTCGATACTCTTGCGCTCTAGCAATTCTCGACTGGAGATGTCCTTGTCTCGCCACTGCTAGAGGTTGTGTTGCTGAGCGCTGTGCTTGCCGCGCTCCTTGCCCATCTTTTGCGCAGAAAAGGTTTGCTGATCCCTTGGGCGACTGTGCTTGCCCCACTTCGACCCCGCTGTGTCACCTGGTGCATTATGGGGGCGCAACGGTCAATTGTGCCCACAGGGCCAGGTGTGACAAACTAATGTGCACATAAGCTTGGAGATGGGAATAGTTGCCAACCCAGGCTACGAAGATGGTGTGCAGGGCTGCACATCAGCAACAGGGACCACATCCAAGGCATACTTCGCGAGCAGCTGTGGTGCTTTGTCCACATCAATTTGCATCCATTTGACCATTTGAATCAACCCCTTGTGCAAGTCCCAGGGCTCGTACAGTTTTTGCACCTATTTGTGGCTCCCAGTGCTCAGGTTCTCACTGTGAATGCATCCAGCAATTCAACTACCAGTGTGACGCCAGGACACTAGCCGCCTAGTCTTCTTTAGACTCTTTAGACCAATAACCAATAAGGTGTTGACCCAAGTATTTGAGTGTTGGGGGGCTTATACAAAGCCTAAATGCCACTTGCTGAAGAGAGCACGCACAGAAGAAGCCAGGACCCCCTAGGCCCTGGTCAAAGTCACTAGCGGGCCTTAGACCGTGGATGTGACACCATTTCAAATCATGTTATCTCAAGAACATCAGGTTGTGAGCTTGCCCCCACAATGCACGTTAGCAGAAATTAGATAGACCGGGTGTGGCTGGGTGCTAATTGCACACCTTGTTTGCACCGGTTAATGGCTGCAGGACCTGTTTTGCGAGCACTGACTGCATCTTTTCGACGTGCAGGGATTGCGATATTTGCAAAGGTATCACCAGGTTGGGCCTGTCAGACAAGGACATTCACAGCCAAGTTGAGTGAGTATTTGCCTTTTTATTCCAAGCTCATGGGCGCATGTGCGGCCAACTCATTGCTTTGTCGTTGGACAACCTGGGAGCGCACACATGTGGAATTGTTTGGAGGTGTCCGACACCTCCTGGAGATGATACCGTTAGCCTTCCCGACTGGAGTGGAAACTGCCGGTGTCCAAATCAACAGGAGCCTTGTCTGCTTATCTCGTCTTGTATCATGTGTCACAAGGCGGGTGGGGGATTCAACAGCTTCAACGAGCGAGCGGGTAGTGGGCTGGAACTGCTTTTGCCTCAGGTGTGCTTCGAAGGGGGGAGCAGATCTCCTGGTTGTCCAATTGCTCCGTCCGGACGCTCTCAATTCTCCTTTCAGGTGACCTGTGTAGATTGCATCTTGGTGGCCATACGCTTTGGAGGAGTGTGCGTGTTGTTGCCCACCAATTCTTGTGGTGACTATGATTCGGCCTGAGAATGTCACATAATATTGAGGCATTTGTGGTGAGCAAACAGGCAGCAGTGGCAACGTGAAGTGCCCCAAGTTCGCACGCGACAACGTCCCTGGTTTTTCGGGTGATTGCATTTGTCCAGATGAACTGCCAGACTGCCGCATGTCGAGCAATTCAGCTATATAGATGTGTTGGGGATTCACTATGGAGCTTTGAGTGAGCTACATGGCATGGGTGAGGCTATCAAGATGGTGTGAAGTGGTGCTTGAGGACGTGTAGAGTGTAGAGCAAACCTGTCCAAACAGAGGGGATGGGGTGTCAAACAGTTCAGAGGCTGAGTAGGTGCTAGCTGCTAGCACAAGTTTACCTGGTTTGAAACAATATGGACGAGTTTCTGGTTTGGGCCCTCTATATAGATTGATTGGGTACATGAACGGTATTGTACGGTAGCTTGAAACACTTTTGTTCTCGCAGGACTGACGGTCAACGAGATCTGCACTATTTTGACCCGGGCTGTTTGGATTGTGATTGCCGTGCGGCAACCCAAAGGAATGGTACAGATGAGCAGGTGCCGATCTGGAGTGAATTGGAGCCCAAAGCATTTGCTGCTTTGTTAGTTTTAGTATCCAACCAATCGTTGCCTCTTCAAGAGGTGTTGGACGATAGATTGCCAATGCATATTGATTATTGAGCTGTACTTGGACGTATATACTTGGCACAGGTCAAGCCATGCCCCAGCTTTGCCAAGTTCTCTGAGTCCAGCTCGTGCCGGGCCTGCAAGATGAATGACTTCCTGTAAGATTTCCAAAGAACTCTCACCCTATTTTGGAGCTTCTCGCCTTCTCAAGCTGCCAGGTACCAGAATTGCCTTTGCCCAGATGACCTGCCCGTTTGCATCCAGCAGGATGGTGCAGCAGCGCCCGGTAGAGCTGGACCATACTGCCGAGTTGCCCAGGCAGCTTGGTGTTAAACATCTCAGCTTCGGCGCTTTCCTTCTGTATCTCTCCTCTCGGACCTTTGCACTCCTAGTAGTAGATTCCTTTGCTAGTAATTACAATTGTAATTAGATTCTTATTGTTACTAGTAGTAAGGCACTTGTTTCTAGTAGCTTCTTGTTACTACTAGTAAGGCACTTGTTACTAGTAGCGATGCACTTGTTCCTAGTATCTCTCCTCTCGGACCTTTGCACTCCTCAGGGCTGGGACTCCTCCCGGGAGTTCCGGTATGATTGCACCACCTGTTCCTGTGTGGGCATCGATGGGGAGGGTTTGCAGCTTCGGGACTTCGCGCCGGAGGAGCAGTATCAGCGTCAGACACGGAGGCAGGTTCTTTAGCGTGGGGCATAGCGGGGGCGAGTTGTGGAGGAGCTGTTGACAGCTGCTGGTGTCACCTACGTGCGCATGAACCTTGCATTTGATATTCGCCTTGTCCCTCAGCATGCGCAGAGAGCTGTGAATTCGTGGTGCCAACATAGGTTAAATATGACTGAGTGAAGAATGGCTAAAGAAATTCTTTAAAAAAAAATGCTTCCAGATGTCATCAAGGCCATCACCAAGAGTTGAGCTGACAGCATTGGTGTGAATCCCAAGGTTAATACCGACAATTCTCTGAATGATTGGTCCCTGGTTTCAGATCGAGTACTCCTCTCTGAGTCCAGCAGGCTTGGCGCAGTTCATTTGCAATCAGACACAGCCGAGCAATTTCAGCGGTCTCAGTCTCCGCTGTCTCCGCTTCTTCGGTACCTGTTTGTTCACCTGCAGAAGTGTCAGGCAAGTGATTGCAGACGCTGCAGCCTTCGCAATTACCGGGCAAGGCCATTCGGTGATGGGCTGCCTGCCTGCAGCTGTGCGACAAGGCATCCTCAAAGTGCTGTTTCAACCAAGGCTATTGCAACGACTTGACGGATGTAACTAGCAGGACATGGAGTTTCGTTTTTGCCCCAGCCTGTCCTTGTCATTGGAACACTCTGATCCCGAAGGACTGTGAATGGAGGAGACTACGAGGGCATTCGCATCCATCGGCTGTTCGCAGAGTTGGGAGTCATGTTTGCCGAAGGCTCAGGCTCGCCTGGCCACAGTAAGTTGGAAAGCTGTTGACGTGCCGCCAAAGCTTTGCAGGCAGGCGCTTGGCGATACGAGACAGCGAGGTGGACTGCAGCGACGCATGCGCGTCAGGGCTGCTTCGGTGATCATTATATATATATATATACTAATCGCGGCTTTGACCAATGCTCTTGAAGATTTTCAGGCTAGAATGCTAAATTGCTTGGGCATGTTCCATCACCTGTTGGAAACTGCTGGTCAAGTCTCGTAACATCAAGCTTGAACATCGGCCATGATTTGGATGCGGTGTAGAGGGGCACACTACTGACATCTCCTGACTGCCGTAGGCCCCGCAGGCCCGTAAGCCGTAGGATTTGAATTTGAAGACAATGAACTGCTTTTGTTGTTTCAATCATCCAACTCAAGACGACTCAGCAAAAGGTTGTTGCTTGTATTGTTGAGCCAATGCAGGATCCGACTCAGCTGCACCACAGTCGGTCTTTGCAGAGTGTCAAAGCTGTGGACCAGCTGACCTTGCAAGAGCACGAGCTGTTGTTGCGCTCCAGCTGCATTCAAGCAATTGCGGTCGGGGACGCGTGTTTAGATGCAGAGAAGCCCGCAACGGCAGAATTATGTACCATATCATTTGCGCATTTACTTTGCGTGTATTGTGTAGGCTTTGCACATATGATCTCCGCTTGTTGAAGCTCCTGGTCAAGAAATATCTCCGGTGACTCTGAGGAGTTTGTCGACCGTGTTTCGACCAATGCAGTTCAAGCAGCAGCTGGATGTGCAAATGCAGCTCCTTTTGGATGACATGGCGAGCTGGCACCCATCTCCCGGTGGCTTGCAGTGCAAAGTTACACCGAGACGAACAGTCCCGACTCTTCGCAAAAGGATTCTTTTGGGTGATGTGATGGGTCTCCAATCTGGAAACCTGCTTCACAAGGGAACACCAAGGCTTGGGGAAAAGATAGGAGCAGGAGAATCGGAGGCGGTCTTTTGGGTTGGAGATCTCCAGCTCGATGGTGCAGGTTTGGTGCAGCCTCCTCGATTCTCTGTGAGCCGAGCACAGCTTGGAGATCTTCAGGACCTGCCCACGCTGGAGATCACTGGGCCGTTAGCACGCTCGCCACCAGTGACCAACAACATGAAGGCGCTTGAATATCAACAACTTAAAATTTAAGACTTTCAGTTTTGCTTTTCATCGCTCAGATTTGAAGTTAAAACACGGAGCAGGTCTTTGACCCTTTCCACTGTGCTTGTGGCCCTGCAGGATGCCCCAGATGTAGGGACCAGCTCAGAACCCACGCAGGGAGATCTTCCTCAAGATGAGGGGATAGATCTCATGTCCCTGTTGCCTGTGGGTATCTCTGTGGTCTCTCTACTTGTAGCTTTGCCGCTGCTCTATTGCTGCCTGCGCCGGTTCCGTCGCTGCCTGCGCCGCCGCCGCGAGAAGCGGAGGTCCAAGAGCTCTGACGGCTCCCGCTCGCCGCGCTCGCCGCGCTCGCCGCGCTCGCCGACCGGCTCGCCACGCTCGCCGCGGCCTGCGTCGCCGCGGTCGCCCCGGGGCTCCCCGCGGAATGTGGCATCGCCTCGCTCGCCCAAGCAAGGTGTTCGAGAGACCCGAGAGACGCCAGACCCGACAGAGTCAAAAGCCTCGCAGAATCCTGAGGAGGTTACTGCAACCACTTCCTTCAAGCCCACCAACAGCATGCGTGTTGTCCAGCAGGCGACTACCTCTGTTTTTGACAAGAAGAAGCCGAATGAGTCTGCGGTGGGTGACCTGGCAATCCGCCAGAAACTGGGGCAAAAGAGCACGAGTGCTGCAGCAAGCTCGGCTCTGGCCGAGACAGAGAGTGATGAAAACAAGGGAAAGAGGGGCTTCATGGGCCGGATGCGCCGCAAAGACAAGGAGAAGGACCAGAAGGAGAAGGGGGGAAGCCCTAATCAGTCCCCTCGCGCTGCAGATAGGTCGCCTCGAAGTCCTCGATAGCAGGCCATCTGAGTGCCGTGTGGTACAACCTGGAGCTCCTGCAGGTTAGAGCTCCAGGTGCTAATGGGCTGAGGCTGTTGACCGCCAAAGGTGGTGAACAGTCGATGCATTGGGCCAAAGAATGCCTGGCAGCGAAAAATGGATTGAAATGGGTGCACCAGACGCTGTGAGGGTCTTTTTGCGTTGAAATGTCAATTTTTCAATTATTTTTCGACTTCGACCATCTCAGGAGAGATCCAAGAAGAAAGAAAGCCGGAGTCGCTACTTCAGTGTGCACATTCTGCCCAACGACTTGTTGCGTCTGCCTCCCCCAAGGTCGATCACGGCGCAGAGGCAGCAGCAGAAGAGAAAGCAGCCGAAGAAGAGAGAGCAGCCGAAGGCTTGGAGTCTTTGTGTGCCCGAGGGATGTACAGTAGCACCATGACTAGTGAGCCTGTGCCACTCAAGGGAAAGACGATTTAGATCTTGAATGAACAGTGACCGACCTGTGACATCCTGCAGCCTGCTCTACATTATGCATTGGTCCTTTAGGCCGCTTCAGGTGCCTCAGGGCAACCAACAAAAAATGGTGCGCGTGAAGCGTAGTGCAACCACTATCTATGGCAATCATTTGCCAAATGGGAGAGTGACACTTGCCAGACGGCATCGCCATAGCCGCAGCCACAGCAGCAGTCTCAGAGAATTATATACAGATGATTTTTGCACATTGAGTCAAAAAACGATTGGTTGATTGTTTTGCAGTGGAAGCTGGTGATGAGGATGATTTTACCCAATAAAGTGCTTGCGACATTGAATGCTTGATAGTCACCAGCAAGCTGTCATATCGTTTGTCCGTTTGCACGGGAGACAGGCTGCAATCTCAACAGTGCCCGTTCTCCTGGCTGTTTGGGTTCAGCGCCGGATGGCCCTCGAAGTACTGCGGCGGCTCTGCTGCTGCCCGGCCGAGTTCGGAGGACACCGAATGGCCGCAGCAGTGATTTTCTTGCATGGGAGTGGGGATACGGGTCCCGGAGTGCAGGCCGGGGCCTCATAGAAGTGGTGGTGGTGGTGGTGGTGGAGGTGGTGGAACAAGAAACGCATTATGCAATTTCACACAATCAAGCCAATGTGACCGATGTCTTTGATTGGAAGGCATGGCTCCATCATGTCAGTGAGGGGCTTTTTGAGTCTGGACCTCACACTGAAGGGCTGGACAGCAAGAAGTGGAGGGTTCAAAGCTGCAGCTGCTGCTGCTGCTGCTGCTGCTCTGAAACTCCTCTGGCTATGGGTGCATGTCTTCGTCTCTACACCTGCTTCACGTGATGCTACCGCCTCTACAAATGGTTCTCTCATGACACTTTTTGCATTGGCGGGAACTTGGTCAAGTAAACAATTCTGCAGAGTGGGTGTGGTGCGTGCCCCTAAGGGAAGGACTGCGAAAAGCAGGAATTTCGCTTCGATTTCCAACAGCACCCCGGGTGCCGTATAGCTGCTCATTCGCATGTTAGTGCTGGCTACGACGCTTGTGCGAAAGCCGATCAGCTTTGAGGTTTGAATGGTGGCATGCCTCAAACAGTGTGGCCTTCACCTCATGACGTCAATGAAATTCGAAACAAATTAACAATCAGTGTGTGTGTGTGTGTGGGTATGTGTTTGTCTTCAGGTTTGACAGGGTAGCCATGGCTTACGAAGCGCCCGAGGATGTTGAGGGTCTGACAAGGCCTGGTGATTTAGGCACCTAGATCATCCGAGGGATTTCTTTGGCCAGGACGGTTGAGCTTGTTGACAAAGAAATCGATCCTTGGTAGCAAAATGGACTCACTGGCGACATTTTTGGGCTGGTGACTAATGTCAGGACAAGCTAATCGAATCTGGCATTCCTGTCTCAAAGATAGGCTGGGACCTATGTTCCTAACATTTGTACTCCGTGACAGTGTCAGCAGTGAATTGTTGCTGGTGAAGCCTCATTGCAGGAGTGGCAGGAATGTCCATGGGAGGCTGTTTAGTTGGATCCTTTGTGCTTGCCAGCCTTGGTTCTGGGGCTTGAGCCTGTTCCGAGGCTCTTCATGTGGGCTATGGCATGGGCCGGCATGCTGGAAAGCTGGTCACTGAGTTGAACACCTGTGGACTTGCGTTTGGTGTGGGGGAGGGCCATGCGTTCAGGCTGGGCATAATCGCAAGCTTGAGTACCTTTCTGCCAAAGAATAGCTGTGGAAGCCTCACTCTTTGCTTTCCCCCATAGATATCAATACTGTGGCGTGCTTGAACTGCCATCGTGTCTCAAGAAACGTGCTCAATGAGTCATTTTGTTCAGAATTTTGTTCTCGCAATGTTTCCGTTTTTTGTTGCACCAGGTCTTGATGCTCAAGCTTCTTGTTTGAAATCCTCGCCACCACTTTTCATGGCCCATGGTCCAAAGCTCAAGGGCATGGAGAGCCCAGAAAGCATTGTAGCCAGCTAGATACAGAAGCCAAATGTAGCACCTTAGCATCGCCAGCGAACAAGAAGCCTGCAGATGGTCGAAGCACATAGAATCAGGAGCTACATAAGCTTTGCATAGGTGAAGTCATTGGGCCTTCTTAGACTCCGCAGGTCAACACTAACAGGATAGAAGTGATGTCCTAACAGCAGAGTCTCACTTTGTCGATAAATGCAACCTCGTCTAATTCTAAAACACATGCATGTCACATGCACGATAGTTTAAAACTACATTGTATACTTATTAATTCATATGCATTTCATATGCATTCATATGCGTATATAACATAAATGTATGTCCACACAGGGTGGGTGTTGAGCTTTTAACCGTTTGCACGAGCATTTCATTGAATTCCATTTGAGGCCGCGAGGACGGCCACTGCCCCGGTCCGACCAACAGTTGCTTTTGGGACGTAGTCTGATGCAGTCGCAAGGTATGATTCGCTTGCAGTGGGCAGAAGTGACGCACAAGCGACTTCAAGCGGCAGGCGTTGGTGCGAAGGACATATGGATGTATATAGGAGTATTTCGATTGCATTCTGTCAACCTGGCGTGACTGTTCTAACGCAGAGGAGCTGCTTGTTTTTCCCGGCGTCCAGCATGAGTTGTGCTCAGAAGAGGCACTTGGGCGCCATTTATATGCATCCTTCGTTTACTGAGTCCCTGCAGTCCTTCAGCAATTGAAGGTCTGCTATTGCTATCAATTCAACATCCAGCCGGTGTTGGCTTGCTTGCCAGGTGCAGCAACTCTTTGATTTCGTCGTCCAGCATTTGGGTAAAGCAAAGTGAGCCCACGAGAGGCTGATACCGTGCTGACCAACAGCCAAAAAAGGTGCACAGCCATTTTGTTTGACTTGGACATTTTACAAATTGGCCAAGAGTCATAGTTCCCAACGTTATGTACGCAGCTCAGAGTGGGTCATGACATGACATGGAGTCTCGTAGGGGAGCAGGTGCTGCATCTACAATCTCTTTCAATACAAATGCAATTGGCTATGTACCTAGGCCGGGGGAGAAGACGCCGCTGAAGACAGGTAGATGGCTGCACTTCAATCAAGGCTGGTGCGTGCTTACCTTTCACGTTCTCGGCATGTTTTCATTGCTCCCCGCTGGGTTTTTAAGAAAGCATGACATGACGAAGTACCCTCCTCTGAACAAACCAAGCACCTGCCAGGCCAGACTAGATTACTGTATATAGTGAGACTATCACTGTTTATTTTCATGTACAGGGTGGGTGCTGCTTGGTTAGTTTACGGGGCATACTAAATTATGGGAGAGCACGGATGTTCAGGTGGTCGGGTTGGCACTTATAGTCAAAGTCGCATGGCTGACACTGTGAAGGCTGGCGGTGACTGTGGCTGTAGACCTGGCATCTTAGCAGATGGCAGGCGATCAGCCTTGCGATTTCGCATGAAGCTTCTTCATTTATTTTTTTTTTGCGGTTCCTAGCTTCTAGTGTAGGCAACACTGCAGGCTGCCAAAAGCCTAGACCAGCCAACACACGACCAACATAACATCGAGGTTCGATTTCCAAGAAAGCTGCATACGCATCGACCTGTCAACGTGGTTTGTCGGTGCTGCTTGTGGACCACAATGACCTGCGGTCACTGTGACACCTTTGCTCAAGAGAGCTCAATTGAAGCATGGGCAATGCAAAGTTCACGCGAGAATGCAATGTGGGCAATATGTCAACTTAGTACATACTGTCCTGGGATCTTTGTCCGAGCTATAGACCAGATTCATGTCGGAAAAGTGCCGTCACAGCTTGACTTGCAAAGGGCTTTTGTTTGACTTCCTTTGAGCTTGCACCACATAAACTTGTGGGGGTAGGCAACATTTACACTCCAATTTCTTGAGCTGGCAGTTGATTGATTTTCTAGAATCAAATAGAATTTTCCAAACCAGCATCCAGATATGAGAGCGACATCCCGCAGCCACTGTGCATCGGACATGATTGACTATACACACAGAATAAGAATATCACAGAATTCTTGCTTTCTTGTTTACCCACCAAAAGTAGCACAGTTACAGAAGGAAAAGCCACGTGAGTAAATTAGTCGTACATGACATGGGGATGGTGGGTCTAGATGACACGGGGATTTTGTTATTCTCCTATCAACCTTCTTGCCCATGGCAGTGAAAAACTACTGAGTGTCTCGACCGCATGTCACCATGTTGCCGATAGATACTGTGATTGTTCATGGAGTATTTCGTCACTTCGAGGGAAAACCTTTAAACACACAACATTTTCCTGACAAAATATTTTGATGGAAAAGATGACACTTCTGATCAGCAGGTCCTGGCTCAAGAGGCCGCTTTTGTTCGAGCTAGGCAGCTAGGCATTGCCATCTTACGATGCCCCCTAGGAACAGAAAGAAGGTTCTTGGCAGGTCCTCTCTGCCAATGGGATAGGTGCACCCCAAAAATTGGAAAACAACTAAGGTTTGGGTGGGAGTTTGTTAGGATTTGCTGGCAGTGTGTTAGGATTGGTTAAGATTTGGTGGAACAGAAATGTGGAATAGCACATGTGCCAGGTTTTTCTGGTGACATGATGCCCCAAAGTTTCAAAGTTATGGAAAGTGCACTTGGGAACACAATAGGAAAAAGTTGGAGTGGCAGAGGCTTGTTTTTGTTTGACAGGGGAAACCGACAATTTGAAGGTTTTGATGGTATATTTTTGGTTCTCTTGGGAGTATGC